TATCTTATTTATAGGTGCTGCAGTTGCTTTGTAATGTTGAGTTTGTGTGTATGTGTATGTTGACATTGCGTGTTTAATGTGTGTATGTATGGGGCTGGGGGGTTTTGTGCGTGTATGAGGATTGCCAGTGGTGTTATGGTTGTAGGAACAGTGTGTGTTTGTGTGTGGACTGTTTGCATTATTTGTATGAAGGGGAGGTTTATTCAGCTGATACATTTATATCTAGGAATGTGGATAGCTTTCCTGTGGTCCATTGGGAACTAGGCTGACCAGATATAGGTCAAGGGCAGATGTTGCAATAGGTGTTACAGGCTGCTCTACTCCAGTGTGGATTCCTGTTCACAAATGCTGGGATGAATTCATCTGAGATCACTTCTTCTAAGTGCTGCAATGTGTATATTGAGGGTTGCCTCTCACCACCTGTAAACACCATTCAGTTTACACTAGAAGATATCTGAAGTGCCACTGGGACTCTTGATGGGCAAGAGCCAGTTTGACCCAGCCTTGAGTGCCGTGCAAAGGTTGCTGACCCCTGATTAAGGGTATTCTTTACCCCAGAGTGCATAACTTTGCATTTTTTTTTTTACATTAAATGTAATTTGCATTTCAGTGCCCACTGTCACAGTCTATCTAAATCCCGTTGCAGCAAAGTATTGTTATGGGCAAATGCAAATATTGTATTTCTCAAACTGTGTACTTTGTCTTTAAGAGATATTGCACACTGACAAGGTGTTAGAAATGGAACGTATTGTTTTCATACATGTTTCTTTAAAGTACCACTATAGACACTGTGATAAAGTGAAGGCAGATAGGCCTATAACATTTAACCCCAGGGGGAGTATGTGTAGGATGTGTTGTAGGCAACACAAAACGCTGTTTAGTTATGGGCCCCTGGGGTGGAACATTTGGAGAGAAGGGTGGGCCAATGCTCCACTCCACAGTTTAGTGGTTTTCTGGGGAGACATAGATCCAGGCCAGGGTTTTTTGGACCATCTCCAACCCACTGCTCAGCTGCAGTTAATGAGCTATTGCAGTGGGAATAAACCCCTCCCAGCTAGGCAGGAAGAGGAGAGGGATTGCTGGCTTCCTCCCAGGAAGCAGGTAGGAGAGAGAGCTGTTCTCTCCAGATAGAGTCAAGGAGACTAAGCACTGGGAGTGCAGGAGGAAGCAGTCAAGGCTGGCTTGGAGCACTGGGAGTGCAGAAAGGAAAGCAGTCAGGGCAAGGCTGGCTTGGAGCACTGGGAGTGCAGAAAGGAAAGCAGTCAGGGCAAGGCTGGCTTGGAGCACTAGGAGTGCGGAAAGGAACGCAACAGGCTAGCCAGCAGAGTGTTGCTAACTAATAAGGTTGGTGCCATATGTTTTGTTACTTTAACCCTGATAGAGAGGGATGTTCAAAGTGAGTTAGTGCTCAGACTGAGCTAGGTTTTTGTTTATAGGGTTTTGTGTTACATTTATGTTTTTAATTTACTGCTGTATCCTGTGTGGATTTGCAAATAAAGTGACTGGATTATATGCAAAGCAAAGGACTGTGCCTATTGTTTACCCTAGAGGACCGTGCTACCTGCAAACAAGGATCACAACACCCAGACCACTTCAGCTTAATGACGTGGACTGGGTGCCAGGTCCAGCTAGGGTTAACCCTTTTTTCTATAAACATAGCAGTTTCAGAGAAACTGCTATGTTTACATTAGGGTTAATCCAGCCTCTAGTGGCTGTCTTACTGACAGCTGCTAGAGAGCTTCTGCGCTTCTCACTGCGATTTTCACAGTGAGAAGATGCCAGCGTCCATAGGAAAGCATTGTGAATGCTTTCCTATGAGAGGAGGAGAGGAGGCGGAGAGGAGGAGGACAGCTCCCCGCCCAGCGCTGGAGAAAGAGGTAAGTTTAACCCCTTCCTCACCCTAGAGCCCGGCGGGAGGGGGCCCATGAGGGTGGGGGCACCCTCAGGGCACCATAGTGCCAGGAAAACGAGTATGTTCGGTGAACCGTTCGGGACATCACTACTAACAAGTAAAAAAAAAAAAAAAGCAGATTGCAATGGACACCATTACAATATTGCTTTGCCAATTGAGGTCAGGGTGTTAAAGAATAAATACATAAATATTCTATAACTCGCTAGACCACTGGCTTTTAATGAACAGTTTGCACAATACTTATAAAATAATTTGTTATACTACACATTATAGCTGTGACATAGTAAAATACAGGGTAAAAATGCTATTTCACTGTTTCATAGACTTACCCAGTATTTAAGGAAGACACGTTTCTTGCAAAGTAATCAGGACTTTGAGGGAGGTTCTAACTATGTTTACTTAGTTAAAGGATCACTATAGGGTCAGGAACACAAACATGTATTCATGACCCTATAGTTTTAAAACCACCATGTAGCCCCCCTGGGCCCCTCATGCCTCCATAAATATAGCAAAATCAGCCAGAAGCTGTAGATCTGCATGCTGTTTGCCTAAAAAAAAAAAAAAAAGTCTGCTGACATCATCAGAAGTGGTAGCCTGATCCAATCACAATGCTAAAGGTAATAAGTTGGTTGTTCTTCCTGTAAAGGAAAGAGAGACTTGCCCTAAAAGCTTATTCATGGCTAGGACAAGCTCATATAGATAGAGGTAATGTACTTCTAACTTCTGAAAAGGAATATTGGTGGCCCAATATGGGAAATACTGTAGTTCATGTGTTTAGTAATCGTAAGCAATTGCTTATTGCCACATTACTGATGTACTGTTTGTTAAAATATTTATATCTAACGTACTTTTTGAATTACTATATATTGCAAGTTTGCCAATATCTCTTGGTTATAAATATGTTTTTGCAGGGGCGGACTGAGAGCCTTTGGGGCCCCCGGGCAAAATTAGATCCCAGGCCCTTTGAAGGCCAAATATATGTG